GCCCCATCCTCTTGGGCCTCCTGAGGTGCCTATGCCAGTAACCTCATCTCTCAAGCTAAAGGCTCACTCAGTGGGAGCCCCAGAGGTACCACAGTGCTCGGGCCTGAGCTCCCGCCTCTGCTCACGCCAGGTCACTGCGAGCCCTTTGTGCACCTCAGTTACTGATGCTTCCCCCTCGGCCCTGGGCCTGCTCTTCTCCTTTCCAGTGCGAGCCCGTTCCTTGCTCGTGTGCTGCACAGATGCATCACACAAGCAGGCCATAGCTTCTTTTCCTTCCCCCGCTGGCGACCAAAACAGAACGCTCAGATTCAAATTCTCTGTGCCAAGGATCAGACCTTATTTCATATTAATTTAAACTACATTGTTAGTTCAGATTTAATCGGCACCTTCAGGTTAGCTGTTAAAGTTTGCACATTGAAGGCCCTGCAGAAGCCCAAGTGCTAAAGGCTACCCCAGGCTGGTGCCACCGGGAGGGGCTGGAACCTTTAAGAGGTGCGGCCTAGTGAGGCACTTAGGTCACAGGGAAAACCCGGGAATGGTGGTATGTGCCACTTCCCCTTCTCTTCCACTTGAACATTTTTCCATGAGGTGCATGGATTTTCTCTGCCACAGACACCTACCATGATGTGCTGCTTGCCAAAGGCCCAAAGCAGCGAGGACAACAGTGTAATTAATCCTGGACAGGAACCTTGTCACATGTAAACCGTGTAAAACAATGGATATCATTTCTCTTTATAACATGATTATCCTACACACTTGCTCTATTAGAAGAAAGCTAATATGGTAACCAATAAACATTTCTAAAAATATACAGAAGTGGAGGGGAGAAGGGAACCCAGCTGATACTCTGTCAGAACAGAACAAAAACACAAGGCAGTAGTGGAGCAAATGAGGAACAACAAAAAAGACACATGTGAGAGACAAAGGTCAGAGTAAATAAATGTCAATGGAATAAAATTTTGAAGTCAGAGGCAGAGACTGGAGAGTGGTAACAAAACATGGTCTAAATAAAAAAACAACAGCCATCCCTCCTAATAGCTGACGCCCAGACACAACAATGGTCCAACTCTACACTGTCACGGAGGCATGTAGTTTAGAGCCTAAAATACGAATAGGTTAAAGTGCAAGGACTGAAATGAGACTGCACACAACTAGTAACCAGAGACAGAGGGCAAGATTATAGTCATTTTAAGGCAAAAACTGTGATAAGAGACAAAAAAAGGATATCATACTTAAAAAGGAGGTCATCTACCGGGCATGCTGGTACACACCTGTAATCCCAGCCACTAAGGGGATGGAGGCAGGCGCATCCTAAGTTATAATAGTAAAATACAGCACCAAGCAGCCCAAAGGCCTGGGCTCCTGGGCGCCTGGGGTGCGGGGCAGCTCGGCATTGCCTGGAGCCAAAGAGTAAGGAGCCAAGACACCAAGCAGCCTAGGAGCCCAGCTCCCCAGCACCCCAGCACCCCAGGGGCCCAGGAGCCCAAGAGCCAAAGAGCCCAGGATATCAGCACCCCAGGAGCCCAGGAGCCCAAGAGCCCAAGAGCCCAGGAGATCAGCACCCCAGGAGCCCAGGAGCCCAGAAGTGGCTTTGTGCTTGGCAGGTGTGAGCCGGGGAGGAAATGCTGCGGGCGGCCTGATGCTGCTGGACCATGTTTTCTTCACTTGTGTCTCAGAGAAGGTGGTGTGACCTGGGCTGCTTCACACAGTCGAAGAGGCCTGGGGCCCGAGCAACCCTCTCTCCTGGGAGAGCTCAGTGACAGCCGTTATTGTTGTGTCTGGGTGTCAGCTATTGGGAGGGATGGCTGGTGTTTTTTTATTTAGATTATTTGTAATTGTTATGTCTCTTCTCCCTGCTTGGTTAATTTATTCAATAATTTTGTTTGTAAGCAGGTGGGATCATGGATTTTTGTTATATAATTTGAGGTTTTAAAATATTTTAAATTTTTAAATGTTTGAGCCCTTTTTCTCTGTTTTGGAGGGTTTTATTTTGTGTTTGTTTGCCTTTTCTGTGGATTCTTGTCTTCCTTTTATAGCGTTTACTAAGGTAGAGCCTAGTAAAGTGGTCAAGATTTAGTTGTTCTCTTTTTAAGAGTTAGTTTTACAAGGTTTTTTTTTTTTGTACCAGGAATTGAACTCAGGACCTTGTGCTTGCCAGGTAGGCGCTTGTGCCACTGAGCTATACCCCTGGCCCAGGGGTATTTTACAAGTTTTAATTCGATATCCAAGCGGGCTGGTGATTTAGCTCAGCGGCACAGCACCTGCCTGGCAAGTGCAAGGTTGTGAGTTCGATTCCTGGTACTTTGAAAAAAAAAATTTGATATCCAGGACCGCAGGTGAACAAGGACATCTTCTGTTTATTTTCAGCTACTTTGTCTTGGGTGGGAGGAGGTGGGAGTCCTGGTGAATGACCATGTCTACCTTCTGGAGTTGGCTCCCTGCCACTGCATGCGACCCTCCTGGCCCCTCACAGCTGGCAGCTGCTGTCCTTTCCATCCCCTTCCCTGTCTTCTGTGGATCATTGGCTCGTCCTTCCACACAGAACAACTTCTTGCTTTGCCTTTAGCTTTCCCGGCCCTACTTTTCTCCTGGGCCTTCTGGCCTCCCCATTCCTCCTTATCCTCTATGCAATTATTATTATTTATTTTCTTTTTGAGACATGGTCTTGGGACTGGGGATATAGCTCAGTGACACAAGTGCCTGCCTGGCATGCATGAGGTCCTGAGTTTGATTCCTGGTACCCCACCCCACCCCACCCCTGCCCCCCGCAAAAAAGACATGGTCTTACTGTGTATTTCAGGCTGGCCTCTAATTCACAGCGATCCTCCTGGCTCAGCCTCCCAAGTGCTGGGATTACAGCTGTGCACCACCACATCCAGGTCTATTTTTCATCACTTTTTTTTTTAAAGCTCACTTCATTCTTTCAGAAATGCACAATGTGCTTACACCGCTCTGAGGCCATTAGCGTAATTTTTTCTTTTCTTTTTTGAGACAGGGTCTCACTATGTAGTTCAGATTTGCCTTGAATTTACTATGTGTATCCCAGGGCTGGCCTCAAGTCATGGCAATCCTCTTGCCTCAGCTTACTTTGTCCTGTTTTAATCACTGGGTCTTTCATTTTGTCCTGATGTCCCTTTGATATGCTACCATAACTGTCTCCTCCTATGAAGTTTCACTGTTTGAAATGCTTTTGCATTCTTATGATAAATCACTTTTGATCATGGCATATAATATTTTTACTACACTTCTGGGTGTGTTTTGATAGTATTTTCTTTAGGATATCTTCTTATGGGTTATGGTCTGTTGTTTTCTTGTGATGCTTCTCTGGCTCTAGTGTTAGAGTAATGCAGGACTAGTAGAATGAGTTAGGACAGATTCCCTCCTCTATTTCTTGAGGATGAATTGGTGTAAGCGCTTCTTCAATTTTTAGTATAGTTCAATTGTCAAAACCAGTCCTGGTCTTCTGTTTTACTGAGTTTTGATTGATACAATGTCTCTTCTTTATTTGTCACATCTGTTTCTATTTTCTGTCACTTTTTCTCTTACTTTTACTTGATTGCTTTCAGTAATTTGTCCATTTCCTATGTTATTTAATTTGTTGTTGCACAGTTCTTAGTATTTTTCTTACTACCTTTAGGTGTACTTTTCAGAAACTGCTAAGAATCCTCCCATGGTATTTCTGATACTATTGTTTGAGTCTTTTAACACCTTTACTACGGGGCTAGAATTCCTGTGTCGCTGTGGGGTGGCCCTGAACCGCCAGTGGTGCATGTGTGACTGTCCTGGGGGGCATTTTTGATATTAACCACAGGGAGTTTCTCCACGAGGCCTGCTGCTTTGCACTCATCTGGGGAAAGAATGACTCAGACAGGAGCACAGCAGAGTCAGCGAGCTCAGGGCTGGAGGACTCACTCAGGGGAATCCATCATGGGCCCGGTCTGTGGGGCTGAGGGCTGAACAGCAACACCAGCAAGGACCACAGCCTCTTATTTTTCCATGAGACATGAAGGGCCTCACCAGCATGAGAGCTAAGCAGCAGGGAAGGCCAGCAGAGTGAGGCACACGATGCTGCACTGCACCTCCAGTTTGCCCGAGGATCCCTGAGGTCAGCACAGGATTTGTGGGTGACGTGCATACAGGGCTCACAGGAGGTAGCATCTGGGAGGAAGTGGATGTTCTCTTAGGGTAGCTTTGGCCTCTCGAACCCCACAGGAGTGGGTGCTGAGCTGCTGGAGGATGACTGGGAGCTGACTGAGCCGCTGTGTGTGCGCAGAGGCCTGGAGAGATGGTGAGGTGGCCCCAAAGGCCAGCTTCCTCCTAACTCTGCCCCCACGAGAGGCAGGAAGGCTGGGGTTGGAGGCCAGGTGGGTGTGTGGTTTGAGGCAGCCTCACTTGTCACGTCCCTGGGGCCCCCATGGTGCTGTGGTGCTTGGGGTCCCTCCTCCCCTTGAAGAGGTCCTCCGTGCCCCAAAGGCGGCTGTAACATCTGGGTGCATCCATTTCCTCCCACAGCCCTTTTGTGTAGTTGAAACTGCCACCGTGGCTGAGCCTGAGCTTTGAGAAGTGCTGTCTATTTGTTGTGCCAGATTTGGGTCAAGCACTGGGCTGGGACAGAGGCAGCGGTAATGGAAGTTCCAGAAGGGAAAAGAGCCTGGGTGACATCAGAGGCCACCTGGGAGCTGTCGTGGTTCCCTGGGGTCATGTTTGTAAGGCGGCTCGGACTGCCTGTGCTGTGCTGCTGAGCCTGCCTGGCCTGAAGCAGGGGTTGGGGCCAGGCCCGGAGCTGTAGCTGCAGGGGCTGTGAAACCGAGACCACGGGGGTGGGTGCTGCTCCGTGTGGGAGGTGCTAGAGGCAGACCGAAAGTGGTGTTTCTTTTGGGCGCCTGGCGGGCCACTGGGCAGTGTCACAGTGAGCTGTGCAGAGGGGAAGGAGTTCCTGCTGGCACCACGGGGAGACCCCAGGGGGAGAGGATCAGGTGGGGGTGTGGTGTCCGTAGGTGTCACCCCACTTTCTGTCTCTGACTGGGGAGCAGAGCCTGTGGATATGGCTGTGGAGAGGAAGAGGCCTGTGAGCTCGGGAGGGGTGCAGTGGAAGTGTGCTTCCTTCTAGGCCCAGTATGCACTGAAGGGCCACAGCAGCAGGTGCTGGGGGGCCCAGAGACCTTGGAGTCCTGCTCCTTTTTGTTGTTATTCTTCCCTGCAGGAATGGTGGCTGCAGGAGCCGTCCCTGGGGCAGGAAGGCAAGGCGAGTGGGCAGGCTGCGTGGTGTCGCTCTCCCTGGGGACCTGGGACTTCCTGTTCTTGTGCTTCCCTGCAGGGACTGTGGGTGGAGCAGTCCCAGGGACAGGTGGGCAAGGAGAGCCGGCAGGCTGTGTGCTGTCGCTCTCCCCGGGGGCCTCGGACATCCTGTCATTGCTCTTCCCTGCAGGAATAGTGGCTGCAGGAGCCGTCCCTGGGGCAGGAAGGCAAGGCGAGTGGGCAGGCTGCGTGGTGTTGCCCCCCTTTGGGGCCTGGGACTTACCCATCAACGCTCTGCTGACTAGCTGGAATGCTGCCTCCTTCTCCCGAGCTATGTGCTCCGCGGTGACCTTATAGCTCAGTTTGGGAGGTGGCGGCAGTATGAGAAGGGCCCCTTGCCTGGGCCGCAGGAGGGGGATCTTTCGTTTTCCTGGGCCAGCACCCTCTGCTGCGGGCAGGAAAACCTTCCTTTCTTCTGCCTCTCTGGATGGTATGTCTGCCACGTTCTCCTTCCCCGCCTTCTGGGGCTTTCCTGGATGTGAACTCGGGGTCTGGGAGCTGTGCTCCCTGGGATCTTTGGCAGCCTTCCGGGGCGGCCTGGTGCGCGCAGCGGCTAGAGCCCTCCTGCGCTGTCCCGGCAGCCCTCCGGTGGAGCTGTAGGAGCTGGCGATGGCGTTTCGCCCACCCGAGCTCACACCGGAGGCCTGGGGGCAGGGGGCAGCTTCATCTCTGGAGCGCTGCCTGTGGAGGTTCCTGGGCAGAGGCCCAGGCCTGGGGACATAAGGAATCAGGCCTCGCCGGCCTACCACCGGCCTGAATGCGGATGGTAGGCCCCCGGGACCATCGGCGCCCCTCCTCTGCTCAGCCTGCTGCTCCATTGCCAGCGAGGCAAGCAGTTTGCCCAGTACTAGGGGCTGAGCTATAGGATACCTTAAAAGTGCCTGCAGACAGCACCGGCTTCCTCTGAAGACAACTGGCCTGCTGACATAAGGTCCACAAAGGTCTGCAGGCACAGGAGCAGTGCTCTGGGTAACTCTTCCCGGAGCACTGCGGTGGAGCCCGGGATGCCCGCGGGGAGGTGGAGAACTGGATCCCGGGGCACAGGTGGCTAAGCAGGTTGCACTCAGCCAGGGCTCTGGGCAGGTGTGGTGAGGGGCCCAGGTAGGTGGGCCTTTGGGGCAAGTTCCTGCCCCTCCAGGGGCACGGGGCAGGGCTGAGGGGCAAAGGTTGCCCTGGAACTGCCTGCCTGAGCTGTTGGGGAACGTAGGATACTTCTTTTCCAAAATCAGCCAGAGCTCACTTTTTGGAGCAGCCAACTGCTCCACAGTCCCAATTTTGTTGCTGGGACACAGCTTCGGAGCACGAGGGCCAGCGGGCACGCGGGCAAGCAGGCAGGTGGGCGAGCCTGTGCACACAAACGGTAAAAAGCAGCGTGTGCATATGGCATTTAAACATTTTGCAATTTACTAGGCAGTAAGGTCCCTCTGCCACTTGGGAGGAAGATAGGTACAGGAGCCCAAGATGCTGAGGGATGGCATGCAAAAAGGCTGCAGGTTTCCCGCTCTCCCCTGGGGGCTGAGGGTGACAGCTGAGGGCAAATACGCTATTGCAGTGTGGTGAGGGCTCAAGGTGCTGTGGCCAGGGGCTGTCAGATGTGGTCCCTGATCATAACAGGATGGACTGGGGAGGCAGGGGGTCGGCAGGATTCCTGCTGGAGCAGCAGCTGCATGACCCAAAAACTTTTGGATCAGGGCTTGTGAATCCTCCTGCCCTTACCCTGTAATTTAAGAGGAGAGTAACCAATCTCATTTATCCCAATGCTTAGTGTTCAGTTCCTGTTCTTTTCTTCAGGAAGTTACACCCTGCCTTTTCCTGTCATTTACCTTCAACCTGAAGAAATCCCTTCTGCGTATTTCTGTACCAAGTTTTCCAGTGATAAGTTCTCTCAAGTTTTTCCCCCCTCCTTTAACCTTTGTATTAATTTTGTTTGGGCCTCAGTACTCCTATCACATAATATAGTGCCTGGGTGATCCCTCTCAGCCCTGAAAGGTGTTCTCTCAGTCTCTTCTCGCTGGTGTGTTTTCTGATGGGAAATCTCAGACTTTGATGTTTCCTTGTGTTGGACAAGTCATTTTCTCAGAGTTCTTTCCAGAGGAGTCTTCGTGCTTGTTGTGCATGGGGTTGTTGAAAAGCCCTGTCACCCACCCCTGCAGCTTTGGGAGGGGCTCTGCTGGGTGCTGTGGAATGGTCCTGCAGGAGGCCGGGAAGTGGGCAACCACGGTCACTGTGTCCCACTTGCAAGAGCTTTCTTGAAATCATGCAGAGGAATCTTTGTGTGTGTATAATTTTTTATTTTTGTTAGTATGTTTGCAGTACACGATTACATTCGCTGTGGAGAATGGGCACATGTAGGCTGTCCTGACATGCTCCTTCGAGCAGTCCAAAGAGCTTTTGTCCAAGCACAGTGAGCTCAGAATACAGACAGCCCTAGTGCCCTAGTGTGAATATACAGAGAGCGAGAACGTGAGTCGGTTTAGAGCCTGAGAGTACCAGATGCCCAGGACTTGCCACCCCAGGGGCTGCCTGTGAGGAGCGGCTTGGTGGGAGACTGTGCTGGTCAGGGCAGCAGGAGGAGAGGCGGCCGTGCGGGCTGGCTGGCCCCGGCCTGACCCTCCACACCAGGGCAGGCACTGATCTGTGGCAGGACTTGGGGCTGCTGGTGGGATGTGTAGGGGTGGCGTGGTGGGCAGAGGAGGCCTCGGGGAGGCAGCAGCGGCGCCCAGAGCTGAGTGTGTGTGAGGGAGACCACTACGAAGTGGTTCTGAGCAGGATTTAATATTAACCAATTGGCTTTCCATGTTTACTCGGGATCCTGTCCAAGGCCTAGGCCCCTTGTCTAAGGCCACAGCTGAGGGTGCCTGGCTCCAACCCCAATTAGCTAAAAGGAGACTGCCGCTTCAGGCTTCACACTCTTACAATAAATGTCAACCTAAAGATAAGGTAGTTCTGCTGATTGACATAATTTACTACTTGGGAAAATATCTCCCAAGGTCCTGCTAAGATGCCACTTAGATTACCGCGTTTTCTTCACTATCCCCCTCCTTTGTTTGAAAACCAAATAAATATGGGCCGCCCAGAGAAGTCTTTATCTCATCTCCAGAGAATCTCAAATTCTGTTAGAGGGTTTTGATCCTCCTGGAGTCCTAAAATCCTACCACTTGACTCTTATTTAAGGCTTCGCTGTCCACTCGTTTGGGAGACTGTGGGCCTGGTCAGTCCGCAACGACTGAAGGATAATACTGACCCATTATGTGTGGAACGCACCTTAACCAGAGTCAGGGGCTGGAGAAAGATGTGTCGGCTGCATGAGGAGGTGAGCAGTTTTTTTCCAACAAAAGTACCGGCTTGTGGATGTGGCTGGCTGAAAGGGGAGCCGTTGTTCTAGAGGCAGTCACACAGACGGAATACAAGTGCCAGTGCGTGAGAGGAAAGTGCCAACCCTGAAAGGGGCCCAAGAGATGGGTTAGCAGCACACGCCTATAATTCCAGCACTCTGGGAGGCTGAGCCAGGAGGACTGAAAGTTCAGCCCAGTCTGGGCAACTGAGGAACTTGGTGAGAGCCTGTCTCAAAATAAAAAATAAAAGGGCTAGGGCAGTAGCACAGTGCAGAGGCCCTGGGTTCAACCCCTGGCTCCCCACACAGTATCTGCGCATGGGGTGGGGTCAAAGATAAGAAAAATGCCAGTGGTAGGAGTCTAGGAGAGCGAGGAGCAGGTGTGCTGAGAGGAGCTTGTGAGATGGACCTCACATTTCGAGGCCAGTTCAAAAATGTTTTTTCTGCCAGGCGTGGTGGGGCACGCCTGTAATCCGAGCACTTGGGAGGCTGAGGCAGGAGGATCATTGTGACTTTGAGACAGCCTGGGCTACAAAGTGAGCTCAAGGCCAGCCTGAGCTGCATAGTGAGACCCTGTCTCAAAAAGACAAACAACAACAACAACAACAAAAACACAAAATGACAAAAAAAAAAAAAAAAACCCACAAAAATGTTTTTGAGTCTGGGCTTGGTAGCTCACGCCTGTAATACCAACTATTTAGGAGGCAGAGGTAGCAAGGTTGCAAGTTTGCAGTCAGCCTGGGTAGCATAGCAGATCCCAACTCAAGGAAAGAAAAGAAAGCTTCTGGATGTGGAGTCTAGGAAGGGCAGAGCAGCCAGCTTCCAGAGCCTTTGAGGCTGTTTGCAAGTGCATCGTCCCTGCACACGGGGCCTGTGTCTAGGTTGCCTCAAGTTTCCCCCTTCTGCAAAGGGGCTGGGCAGCAAGGGGCAGTGGGGCCAGGCAGACCCTCTGTGGAACAGACCTGCAGGCTAAGCTGCACAAAGTCGCCGGGCCTGGTAAATAAGCCACCCTGACTTTGACACCTCATAGCTTTCACATGTGCACACTGGAGTTCTTCAGACTGCAGCCATTTCTCAAACTGTTAGCATTTGGAAAATGCCGATTGCCACTGCTCCGTGTGGGCTGCAGTCTAATGGGGAATAGCCCTTTAATGCCTAAAAGGCTTAGTGGACAAACGGAATCAGTAGAGACCTTCTTGTTTTCCCTGGCATTTCCTCGGGGAAATCTGTCCTAGGAAGAAGTGGGAAATGACAGAGCTTGAGACCCTGCTTCCCGCAGCCGTGTCCTTGGCACCCCACCCCAGGCCTGCGCCCCTTCTCCACAGCAGTCCACCCAATGAACTCCCAGCGTATACATCTCTCCTTGCTCGGCCCCCTCTCACCCTCCTGCCCCCAGCCTCAGCCTTCTGCCTGCCTTCGTCTGTGCCCAACACAGTGGTCATTTCATAGCAACTCTGGTCTGTGTACTTCCTTTTAAATCTGGTCATTGGCCACTCCCTGTAATCATGGGATCCACGGATGGATTTCTGTGGCACAGTTTTGCGGGTGCATGCTCTTGTGTGAGCCTCTGTGGGGCCTCAGTTTCTGTTGCCCAGACCCTCCCAGCCTCCCACCCCAGAGTCTTACTCTAGTGGGTGCTGCTCTAGTGGTGTGAGCTCTGTGGTCCCCAGAGCAGGAGGCCTCCTTCCCACCCCTGGGCTCGGCCAGGTGTCCCTGTGCCCCAGTGCCTCCTCCACTGCCCAGCCGGGGAGAGGGGCTCAGGTGCTTGTCCTAGGATCCTACTGTCTATCTCAGTCTATGCCAGCAGGGCTGCTGCGGCAGTGACCAAGGCTTGTCCCAAGGCTCTACCCATACTGCTGCACACCGTCCACAGGACCAAGGCCTTGCAGCTCGTCCCCGGGGCAGCACAGCTCTTGGTACATGGTAGGTGCTCAGCAAGGAGTGGTCCCTCCCCTTCACCCTGTGACAATGCACTCAGCGTGGGACAGCCCCCCTGGACTCGGGCCTTGCTCTCACTCGTAGATGAGCAGCAGCCGGTCGCAGAGGGGCTCACAGCTGGGGAGCGGGGTGCAGACGCAGCCTTGAAACTCTGCTTCCTCTGCTGCTCCATACCTTGTTGATGAAGCTTTCTCTGTCCCTTTAAGTGAAGCAGCACGTTCTCTTCCTGTTGCAGGAATATCTGAACAACCACCACAATGAGTGTCAGGATGGTCCCACACAGAGGGCTGGCCTTGGCCACTGATTGCGTCCTTCACTTGGCTGGATACACCAGGCAGAACACGACTCTAGGGTACATGCGAGCCTCCTGTGGAGCAGTGACCCCCTTAATCTGTGAGCACAGTGTCATGGAGGTGGGAGGACTCATGTTTCTATGCAGCATGTCGTGACAGTCCCCTCAGCATGCGTTTTGGCCATTTACTTTTATATGTGATCGTTTGCTTTTTCTCTGACAGTTTTTACCATTCCGTTTTTGTTTTGTTTCAC